GTGAGAAAAATGAAAAGAAATATTTCCCAAAAAGTAATTTTAAAAAAAAACAATATAAAAGAAACGTTCCTCAAAGAGTGACGAAGACGATCTAAAAGAAATGTTCCTCAAAGAGTAAGGAAGTCGATCTAAAAGAAACATTCCCCAAAGAGTAAGGAAGACGATCTAAAAGAAATGTTCCTCAAAGAGTAAGGAAGACGATCTAAAAGAAACGTTCCTCAAAGAGTAAGGAAGTCGATCTAAAAGAAACATTCCCCAAAGAGTAAGGAAGACTATCTAAAAGAAATGTTCCTCAAAGAGTAAGGAAGATGATCTAAAAGAAATGTTCCTCAAAGAGTAAGGAAGTCGATCTAAAAGAAACATTCCTCAAAGAGTAAGGAAGTCGATCTAAAAGAAACGTTCCTCAAAGAGTAATGAAGGAAACAATATAAAAGAAACATTTCTCATCTCAAAGAGCAGAGTAAGGAAGACCATCTAAATGAAACGTTTCTCAAAGAGAAGGAGAGACAATCTAACAAAAACTTTCCTCAAAGAGTATTTCAAAGAGTAAGGAAGGCGATTTAAAAGAAATGTTCCTTAAAGAGTAAGGAAGACAATCTAAAAAACAGATGTTTTTCAAAGAGTAAGGAAGACAATCTAAAAGAAACGTTTCTCAAAGAGTAAGGAAGACAATCTAAAAAAAAAAGACGTTTTTCAAAGAGTAAGAAAGACAATCTAAAAGAAACGTTTCTCAAAGAGTAAGGAAGACAATCTAAAAGAAACGTTTCTCAAAGAATAAGGAAGACAATCTAAAAGAAACGTTTCTCAAAGAGTAAGGAAGACCATCTAAAAGAAACGTTTCTCAAAGAGTAAGGAAGACAATCTAAAAGAAACGTTTCTCAAAGAGTAAGGAAGACCATCTAAAAGAAACGTTTCTCAAAAAGCTGCATGGTGTAAAAGAAACGTTTCTCAAAGAGTAAGGAAGTCGATCTAAAAGAAACGTTCTTCAAAGAGTATGGAAGATTCAAAAAAAAAAAAAAAAAGGTTCCCAAATAAGACCCTATTGTCCAGATAGCACCATAAAACATCTGCGTTGACGACAGCACCACCAATTCTTTGCACAGAAGTCGGTCACTTTATCTACAATGTCTGTATCTCTTTAGTTGTCTGTTGCGTATCCCTTCTCTGCCCGTGTGCAAAAACACCATCGTCATTTATTTAATGAACAAGACAAAAAGACTCAGTTATCCACCCTCACCCACACTCAACTGTTACTAGCCTGATGAGGCCTTTACGTTACCATAACTATAACTTCTATGGAGGTTGAATGGGGTATTAGTGGTGTTTCCTATTGGTTCTTCTTCTTCTTCTTCTTCTTCTTCTTCTTCTTCTTCTTCTTCTTTTTATTATTATTCCCTAGTCCATATACCCTTCAGCATTAGGTTATGAAGAGGCATCGTATGCGAGCCTTGGTATGTGCTACGTAGATTCTGGTTTTTACAACGTCAGGTATTCCATCTATGCACTGCATTTGTGGTCGACCTCTGCTTCTTGGCCAGGGGTCCTTTTCAGTATCAGTCCGATTTCTTTTTTTTTTTCCCTTCGAGCAAGACCTTTGATCCACTGCCGGCTTGCTAGGCCTGTCGCATTTAAAGGAAGCGTCTAACCAGATGGATTTCATCCCAGCTGGCAAGCCAGGGTCCAGAACGCACTCTAAGACTTTAGGTTCAAGTAGCCAATGTGGCGGCCACGGATGCTTCTTTGGAGGCTGAAAGGGACATCATAGGTTCTCACTTTTCGTCTGCTTTTCAAGAAAAGGTTCTTAAAGTCCCAGCGGTGATCACAGCTTCGGGCAGCAACCTAAAGGAAAAAAACGTATCAGACAGAAAACACTAACCAGCAATTGGGGAAACAGTGGAATCAGCTGGCAGATTCTTCTGAATTCGACGTGTGGTCTGCAGTTGGAGGTATTGCTGCCTCAGAAGGCTTATCCTGTGGTTGCTGCTCTGACGAGACCGCTTCACTTGTTGCCTCATCGTTCTGTCTTTGCGACGCTGGCTTACTTGATTGAGTCTGAACAAGAAAACAGGTGAGTTTTTACACAATGGTAATGTTGTGACGTCAGTTTGCCTCACTTCAGAGTCTGAACAAGAAAACAGGTGAGTTTTTACACAATGGTAATGTGACGTCATTTTGCCTCACTTCAGAGTCTGAACAAGAAAACAGGTGAGTTTTTACACAATCTTAACGTCGTGACGTCAGTTTGCCTCACTTCAGAGTCTGAACAAGAAAACAGGTGAGTTTTTACACAATGGTAATGTGACGTCATTTTGCCTCACTTCAGAGTCTGAACAAGAAAACAGGTGAGTTTTTACACAATCTTAACGTCGTGACGTCAGTTTGCCTCACTTCAGAATCTTAACCACACACACACACACACAAAATAATTTGTTTGCAACAAATGTTAAATTTTGTGACGTCAGTTTGCCTCACTTCAGAGGTTGAACAAGAAAACAGGTGAGTTTTTACACAATCTTAACGTCGTGACCTCAGTTCGCCTCACTTCAGAGTGTGAACAAGAAAATAGGTGCGTTTTTTTTTTTACACAATGTTATCGTCGTGACGTCAGTTTGCCTTACTTCAGAGTCTGAACAAAACAAAAACTAAAACAAACAGTCAGTGTTAAGTGTTGTCATGTCAGTTTGTTTAACTTCATACTGTGCACAAGAAAACGGGAGAATTTTACACAATGTTTAACGTAGTGACGTCAGTTTGCTTGACTTAAGAGTCTGAACGAGACAGAAAGCGCTAAAACAAACAGTCAGTGTTAAGTGTTGCCATGTCAGTTTGTTTAACTTCATACTGTGCACAAGAAAACGGGAGAATTTTACACAATGTTTAACGTAGTGACGTCAGTTTGCTTGACTTAAGAGTCTGAACGAGACAGAAAGCGCTAAAACAAACAGTCAGTGTTAAGTGTTGCCATGTCAGTTTGTTTAACTTCATACTGTGCACAAGAAAACGGGAGAATTTTACACAATGTTTAACGTAGTGACGTCAGTTTGCTTGACTTAAGAGTCTGAACGAGACAGAAAGCGCAAGTTTGAAAATCATTCATAACTTGCAGCTTCTTCTTCTGCGTTCGCCTTTAAAGATGGTTAGTACGTTTTCCTGTGATTTACAGCTAGGCTGTGGTATTTGCGCTTGCTGGCCCAATACATCCAATATAGGAAAACATCTAATTAGTCGCCCTTAAGCGACATGCTTTTGGGAAGTGCTCTCCTCGCCCCCCCCCCCCCCCCCCCCCTTCCTTGAATGGAGCCCTGGAACCTACACGGGGGAAAAACAGCAAAAGTTGTGTAGACCTAATTCATAGATCGAATTACTCTTGAAACGATCTATGTTTGAAGTTTGAACAACGAACCAACATCATGACACACAGGTAGTTACACATAAGTGCTCCGTGCTTCTAACTCGTCTGAGTTCGAAGAAGCTCAGCACAGACTCTGTAGCACCGACGAGGATCCTGAAATACTTTGGGTAGATTTTTAACTCCAAACTGTGCCCGGGCAGCGCCGTTAGGCTTCTCGTTTCGATATCCAACTGCCAAGTGATTTTTTTTATGTTCGCAATAATACACACGGGCGTCACATCTTACTACCCAGAGACCCGGGGGGGGGGGGGGGGGGGGTGTGTAATTAATAGAATTCTAAATCCACGTGGAAAAATTTCCAGAACTTATCCGGGATAGAACCCGGAACCTCCAGCACTCGAGGCGGACACCATGCATCGAAACCACGCAGCCCCAAAACAATCTATTAAATTTGAGAGATTCACAAAGAAGCTAAAGTTTATTGCACATTCACTCATCGAATAGCTCACAAAGAAATCAAAGTTTACTATCCATTCATTCACCAAATGGCTCACAAAGAAATGAAAGTTTACTATCCATTCATTCACCAAATGGCTCACAAAGAAATCAAAGTTTACTATCCATTCATTCACCAAATGGCTCACAAAAAAATGAAAGTTTACTATCCATTCATTCACCAAATGACTCACTAAGAAATAAAAGTGTACTATCCATTCAAATCACCAAATGGCTCACACAGAAATGAAAGTGTACTATCCATTCATTCACCGAATGGCTCACAGAGAAGTGAAAGTTTACTATCCATTCATTCACCAAATGGCTCACAAAGAAATGGAAGTTTATTATCCTTTCATTCACCAAATGGCTCACAAAGAAATGAAAGTTTACTATCCATTCATTCACCAAATGACTCACTAAGAAATTAAAGTGTACTATCCATTCAAATCACCAAATGGCTCACACAGAAATGAAAGTGTACTATCCATTCATTCACCAAATGGCTCATTAAGAAATGAAAGTGTACTATCCATTTATTCACCAAATGGCTCACAAAGAAATGAAAGTTTACTATCCATTCATTCACCAAATGGCTCACAAAGAAATGAAAGTTTACTATCCATTCATTCACCGAATGGCTCACAGAGAAGTGAAAGTATCACTAATTCGCTCACCGAATGGCACACAAAGAAATGAAAGTTTACTGCTTTTTCACTCACTGAATGGCTCACAAATAAAAGAAAGTTTATCGCTCATTTACTCACCGAGTTTTCTTCTTTTCTTCTTCTTCTTCTTCTTGTTTTTCTTCTTCTTCTTCATTCTCATCACCATCATCACCATTTTTACCGGCAAAAAATTCCTGCGGAAAGCTCCAAATGTTCGACTGCTTCTGGAATGTGGTATTTTTCCAGAAATTGATTTTTGCATGCACACCCGTTCTACAGATCTGGCTTTTTGTGTGCAAACTGCTGGTTCCTCGCCTCTCAGGCAGATGCACGCCGACTTCGAAGGAAATAAGAACATTAAGTCGGTTTTTACGCCATATTTGTCAAGGGACAGCAGGTCTATATTTCTCAACCCTCCTCCCTTCCACCCCCAAAAAGGGGTCCCTGGAACCCATCGAATGGGTCACAAAGAAGATAAAAATTTCTCACTCAACCCTCACCAAATAGCTCTCCAGCCTAGGCACTGCGTCTTCTAGCGGCTCCAGGGACGGCGCCATTTCTCGCTTCTGTATCCTGTCGTTGACGTCATCGATGGCTCTCATGATGGCTTCTCGGGCTTCAAAATCTCCTGCAGGGAGGTAACGCTGGCTGTGAATACAAGTGTATGTGCACACGAGCAGACACATAAATGCACACACACACACAAGCATGCACACAATTGTTTTATGAGGTGGGGTGTGGGGCGGACAGTGCCCTTTACTTTTTATAGCACACGAATTCGTGTCACTAATTGGGAATAGAAGGCTAAATAGGTAGATGAATAGAGGCGGGTGATTTCTGAAGCAATGAAACTCAGGGGTTTGAAAAGAAGAAGGAGAAGGAGGAGAAGAACAAAAAGAAGAAGAAGGGATTTAATGGGCTCGTGGGATAAGCTTTGTTTAAGTACTTAGTTATAAGAATTATAATATGCTGAATATCTAATTTAAAAAAAAAAGAATACTTGAAATCATGTGAAGTATTTAATCTTATGTTTAAAAGGGTTCGATGTCTGTGGCTAAGGCGTTGCGAACGCGCTTCGTAATGTCGGAGTGCCGGGTTCAATACCTGCTGCGGACGGTTTGTCTTGTGATAGTTTCGCCCGTGGAACCGATAGCCGACCGTTTAGAAAGCGATGGCAAACTACTGGACGTAAATTTGCCAAGAAAAACCACAACAGCCAGAAAGTGCTGGGGTTGGTTCTGCAACGTCCTGTAAAGGATGTGCAACTAATAATATTTATAAAAAGGGAAATTCTAGTTTTGCTTAGCCCAATTAAACGTTTTTAGAAGTTAGGGTTCTGTACAGCTTACGGCCACAGCAAGTCTAAATCCAGCACTGTGACTTGGGTACACTGAACCTTCCTCCGCCCAGGGTACATTTTCTATTATTTCAACTATACTCCTATGCTTATTTTCTAGCCAGTGCCCTTTTCTTTTTATTATTATTATTATTATTTTCGGGAGTCCCCGTGGCGGAGCGGCTAGACGCTCGCCGCGGATCGGAAAGTCGTGGGTTCGCTCCCTGGCGGAGCTGGACTGTTATCAAAAATTACCTTGGCTCCCAGGTCGACCCAGCCTTGAGTGGGTACCGGGTGCAGTCCCGCTAGAGAGGTAGAGGCGGCCGGCGTGATGCTGACCACATCACCCATCTTGTGCCGATTGGTCTATAAAATATAGGTCTAGCCCTATATGCCATATACGATTAAAGGCGTGGAAAAGTTTCCTTTGCTTTTTCCTATTATTTTCATGTGTCTGTTCCGGGGCTCCATTCTGGACAATATAGAATACACCCACTACCCTCTAATAAGTATGTCGTAAGTGGCGACTATATTTGTGAGTGTTTCCTTTAAATTCGAAATGCATCTGCCTGAGAGGCATGGAACCAACAGTCTGGATACAAATAAAGCCAGAGCTGTAAAACGGATGTGGACGCAAAAAAAGAAGTTCCGGATCAAGACAAAAGTCAAGAAGTGGACGAACAACCAGGGCTTCGTATCGGAGTTTTCAGCCTATGGAAGCTAAGAAGAAAATTATCATCATCATCATCATCATCATCACCAAAGACCCCATGCAGTTGTGATTACAGTTGTGCAGAAGTAGATACAAAGCAGTATTTTATTCTTATTATGCACTTAAGAAAGGATACTCTACTCGAACTCTTCCCCATCTTAGGCAAATTTGTAAAGAGGTTGAGCTCCCCCCGCTCCCCTCCCCAACTGCTTTCTTTGTGTTGGCGCCCCTGATAATGTTGCTGATGATGATGATGATGACGATGCGTTACATCTGATACTAAAATTTACGGAACTACAAAGTTTCAACATAAATTGAGTTCTACAGTTTCAAAAATAACTACTAACGACAAAACTTACTTTGCAGAGAAGCAAGTTCTGCAGCATTCTCAAAATTGATCAGAGCGGAGGATAAGCGTCCCGATTTCACTGGGGGAACAAAAAGGAAATGTTTGAAAGAGTTTTGTACATCGTTTACAGCACTAACCATTGACTTGTGTGCTAATTTAAAGTTTGCACACCCAAGCATGCGAAGACTAGACTCGGAGGAAATCAATACTTGATTCAACCAGGCGGTCTTCAGTATGGGCCGTGGGGGCTGATGACGTCGGCTTGAAGACGGCTTTGGTTCAATGACCTGGTAGCGAGTACCAGCAATGCGCTGTAGTGTACAGAGCACGGTGAGACACGTAAAACACCCCTAGTCATCCACTGCAGCAGACTTCATCTTGATGTCTCCACCTGTCCTGGCACTGGATCCAGAAGGATACGAGAGAGAGAGAGAGAGAGAGAGAGAGAGAGAGAGAGAGAGAGAGAGAGAGAGAGAGAGAAAGAGAGAGATAAAGAGAGAGAGAGATAAAGAGAGAGAGAGAGAGAGAGGTCGACGACATTATGCAACTCTTCTTTACTTTAAACCAACTCATCGCGCAAGGTCACCTTTTCTTTCTTCTATCACCAAAGACACACATTTGAAGATTGTAATGCTATAAGGCACAAGAATAAAATCTTATATTTAAATATTTATATGTTAGCTACTGCGTGCAATAATGACATGAATAATACTGATATTGAGGTTGACATGGTAACCCAAAAGACACTCAGTTTGTAGACTTGACGCAACAGCTGATTTACTTAGGCTCTTCATTAGAACAATCTGAACTGCGGTGGATTCCAGGTCACTGTGGCCTGGAAGGCAATGAAATAGCGGACAGATTAGCCAGAAGCGGCAGTGACATGGTACAACTAAATATCGACTTAACCCACAAGAGATGAAAACATTAATACAATCTAGTATCCAAGAAAGGTGGCTGGATACACACACCAAATTCTCTTCTCAAGACTTGCTTCATCGCCTCTCTAGAGAGGGACAGTCTATTATATTCAGACTAAGGACTGGGCACAACAGACTTCGTCAACATATGTTCAAATTTTTCTGTGTAGGAAACACAGAGACGTGTCCCTGCAGAGTGGCACCCGAAAATGCTGAGCATGTTCTCCAAAACTGTCAACTGTATGCTGACAACAGAGACGCAATCTGTCCCATTCCAACCACAATTAGGACAAAGCTGTATGGTACACGAGAGGATATGGACTGCACGATAGCTTTCACAAAGGCTAACGGCCTCCTGATATAAGTTTTCTGACAGAAGGATCGAAGAAGACAAAGAAGAACAAGGTTGACTCGTGGGAACAAAATGCCAAGGACCGTATTGTGTGGAGAGGGCACATCAGGAAAGGAATTAGAATGAAGGAAGAAATTATTGCAGAAAGGATGAGAGCTGAGCGTCTGAGAAGAAATACACTAAACACAAATGTTGACAACAACGGACCTAAAATCCCATGCGATAATTGTGGAAGACTTTTCTTAACACGGGCGGGTCTGGCTAGTCACACTCGCCATCGCCATGGGCAACGAATCCCATGCCTCCTCAACGAGCAACATAACACTATCGTTTGGAAAGAAGGTAAGGTGCCGGTCATAATTTTAATGTTAGCTACGTCACGTGCCTTGCCGACTGGCTAGGGCGATCATGCCAGTTCACAATCTGCGATCCACAGCATGTATCAGTTCATGTGCTGACACGCTTCCATTTCATGCAAAAAGACTGTCAAAAATCCTCTCTCGTTGTCTTCCCCTATCCCTCCTTCCAAGGTAACAACATGTTTTATTTTTCCTTTTCTCACAACATGGCCGTAAAATTCAAACCAAAAAAAGCATTTTGTTTCGTATCCTGACTATCTTGTGAGATACACATTTTCATCCATGACCAGCTGCCAAACTCTTCAACGTCTGTCTGTCAGTCAGTCTGTCTGTCGTCTGTCTATTTCTCTCTAAAATAATGGTTATTCCGTGCACATATATTCAGTTGATATTAACAATCCCCCGTGTGGGTTCCGGGGACCCATTGTGGGGGAAAACAAGAATAGACCCACTGCCTCCCCAAAAGCGTGTCGTAAGAGTCGACTAATTAGGGAGCTTCCTCTGAAGTCGGAGTGCATCTGCCAGAGAGGCAAGGAACCAACAGTCTGTAGTCAAGGGAATGAGATCTGTAAAACTGATGCACACGCAACAATCAGGTTCTGGAGCAGGACTGCAGTTCAGTGGTGGACGAGGAACCAAAACTTTCCGCCAGAGTGTACAGCTGGTGAGCGCGAAGAAGAAGAAGAAAAGATATTAACAATACACAACTGTTGTGGAAGTGATTATAGACAAAGCTAACCCGAGGTGTCCACTTTCTGTTTGTAATGTTGAACTTATTACAGAGTGATGCCCTTGCTTCGTGAATGATGTTCTTGTCTTAGCTAGGCTAAAATCAATCTCATTAATATGCCAGACTATGTATCTGAAACGTTAAAACACGCCAAAGATGAATGTCACACAGGCAACAGCAATAACAACTGACCCTGGGCTTGGGAGATCAGAACGTAGGCATGTAGTTTCCATTTGTCGTTGCCGACCTCGTTTGCCACAGTTAGCGACCGAGTCCCGTACTCCTTGGCGACCTTCGTCTGATCAAGCTCTAAGTAGCACCTGCCAAGCTCATGGCACAGCCAGGCGATTTCTAGCTGGCCTTTGCTGAGAGGAAGCTTTCTCTCCCACCTGCAACCAGAACAGTTCTCAGCGTAATCACTGTTTTCGTATTGTTGTTGTTGTTTTCCTGCCCCTCTTTCTGACTATCTATCTATCTATCTATCTATCTATCTATCTATCTATCTATCTATCTATCTATCTATCTATCTATCTATCTATCTATCTATCTATCTATCTATCTATCTATCTATCTATCTATCTATCTATCTATCTATCTATCTATCTATCTATCTATCTATCTATCTATCTATCTATCTATCTATCTATCTATCTATCTATCTATCTATCTATCTATCTATCTATCTATCTATCTATCTATCTATCTATCTATCTATCTATCTATCTATCTATCTATCTATCTATCTATCTATCTATCTATCTATCTATCTATCTATCTATCTATCTATCTATCTATCTATCTATCTATCTATCTATCTATCTATCTATCTATCTATCTATCTATCTAATCTATCTGGCTGTCTGTCTGTCTGTCTGTCTGTCTGTCTGTCTGTCTGTCTGTCTGTCTGTCTGTCTGTCTGTCTGTCTGTCTGTCTGTCTGTCTGTCTGTCTGTCTGTCTGTCTGTCTGTCTGTCTGTCTGTCTGTCTGTCTGTCTGTCTGTCTGTCTGTCTGTCCAAACTACTTTTCCAAGCTGGTGAACAGTAGCGACGTAACTAATGTACACCCACATGGATTTTTGTCATGACCTTGGCTTCCAGGTCGACCAAACCTTAAATGGGTACGAGGCAACGTATCTATGGGAAGTAATCTATAGTCTATCTACGATGTATCTAAACTATCGTCACCTATCGAGGGTCTATTGGTCTATCTATCTAATATCTATCTATCTAACTATCTTTATCTAGTTTCTATCTATTACAATAAATCTAAATCTATGGCTATCTATTATCTACGGATCTATCTGGGTTTCTATCTATCTATGATACATGACTATTTCTTATCTATCTATTTTCTATCTATCTATCTATCTATATATCTATATCTATCTATCATCTATCTGGTAGGTAATGTGGTCAACGTCACGTCGGTCGCCTTTACTCCATATGACTGTCTGTCTGTCTGTCTGTACTCTGTCTGTTCTGTCTGTTCTGTCTTCTTGTGTTCGCTATCGGATTAACACCGACTGATCTAATCTATCTATCTATCATCTGGTAAATCTATTGACTATCTATTTTAGGAGTATCCCTATCTTTAATTCCATACAACTATTATCGTGCATTGTTCTATCTATCTATCTATCCTATCTATCTATTCTATCTATCTATCTATCTATCTATCTATCTATCTATCTATCTATCTATCTAGTCTATCTATCTATCTATCTATCTATCTATCTATCTATCTATCTATCTATCTACTATCTATCCCAAAAAGGACGCAATGGTGAACTACTTAGACGAAGCCTGTGCATATGCTTGTTAAAATTTATTTTTTTCCTGTCCTGAGGCATAGAATAATAACCTGCCCATGCCGGTCAAGTAAGTGGTAGTCATCTCTGGTCAGACTCTGTTCACTTCTAACAGACTGGATGGCACTTTTCTTCTCACAATGGTACTGATTAAAGGGTCTAAGAGCTGTATAGACAGCCCTAAACGAGGAAGAGAATCACGGGAAATCAGCAGAGCTGTGAGAAATTGTTTAGAATCCCATACGTTACTTGAAATGCAACCGACTTGAGAAACTTACACGTCAATGGCTTTCTGGTATTCTCCATTTCTGGCATAAGCTCGTCCTAAATTATCCAGGGCCCGTAATTCAGCCTGATCTATGTACCTGAGGAACAAGCCAATCTGGTAGTTAGATAGTTGCGTCCCTTTACATGACGTTGAAGAACCAATCCCAACATTTGTTGGCTGTTGTGGTTTTTCTAGTGCCCTTTTACGTCCATACAACTTTGCGTGTATTTTGCCACTTCAGCCCTTTGAATGGTGAACTACTTAGACGAAGCCTGTGAGCTGCTTGTTAAATTACCTGTCCTGAGGCATAGAATAATAACCTCCAGCGGTCAAGAGGGCGTAATTTGGTCAGGATCTGTTCACTTCTAACAGACACACTTTTGTTCAGATTGGTACTGATTAAAGGGTCTAAGAGCTGTATCTACAGCCCGAGTAAGAGAATAACGGGAAATCACAGAGCTGTGAGAAATAGAATCCCATACGTTACCGACTTGAGAAACTCAACGTGCTTTCTGGTATTCTCCATTCTGGCATAAGATCGTCCTAAATTATCCAGGGCCCGTAATTCAGCCTGATCTATGTACCTGAGGAACAAGCCAATCTGGTAGTTAGATAGTTGCGTCCCTTTACATGACGTTAAAGAACCACTCCCAACATTTTTTGGCTGTTGTGGTTTTTCTAGGCAAGTTTACGTTTAGTAGTTTGCCATTTCTTTTGAATGGTGAGCTCTCTGTACCCCGGTTCTATTCCAGCTGAGGGCGATTTGGCAACAAACCACGTGTTCAGATTTGACATTGCCCCCCAAAAACTGCCTTTATATACCACTTCTGCGGTGTCGGCAGGGGAGGGGGTCTTTGAGCTTAAAAGTTCAAGGCTGCATTACTTTCATATATTACCTTGGCTAACAACGCCAGTTTCGTCCTTTTTAGGACTAAATTATTTGTTATTTGAAGCCCCACCCTGGCTTTTGCCATGGACCGCAATATAGGCAGGCCATAAATATGGCCAATTGTCTGAACGCGGTTTCTGGGACCTCTCCACGGCGATCCTCATCCACATGGTGGCACTTTGTGTCATCGGGTGTTTATCGCTTGTGTGATGTCCTAGTGGGGTAGAAAGTCAGTCAGTCAGGCTGCATGGCTATGCACCGTTCGGCGCATAGGTCAGAGGTCATAGCCTGCATGTCTGGCGGTTCGTTGCCACCTGCTTTAGGTCTTGGATGTTTGTCAGGTCCATTCGAATGAAACTTGTTACGGCTTCAGGAAGTGGCCAGGAAGAACAGACTCGCTGCTCGTTAACGAGCATGTCGTAAACACTCAACTAAATAGAGGTTTGCTGAAATAAGGTGTATTAAACCGCAGATATTACACCCTAGCTTTAAACCACAATACATTGAGCCAGCCGTCCTTCTAACTCTACTAATACCAGAAGAAGGTTTTGTATGATATGCCACTGAATACATATCAGTTACTAAAGTAAAATACTTTCAGAATAGTTGTATAACAGTAGCAATGACTATTGGACATGCCAGAATTCTTGAGTGTGTTCTGACCAAATACAAAAAGTAAGAGAACATGTTGAGCTAAGGAGAGATTCAACAGAAAGTGATTAACGCTGCCTGCATTGTCTGGGACTTGCAGAATTAAGGGCGAGCGCAGGAGAAAAAGAAAAGATTGAAAGGAGTGAAAGTAACAGCCGCCTGAAGCTGAGAGAGTTCATGTTTTAGCTCATAAGTTACAGGCAGACTGAAAAGAGGAAGTCTTGGATGGCGCATGTTGAAGACACAATTATACAAGTGTGCAGGCTTGATAAATCTGGGCGAGGAGACGAGTGGGTCAAAGTGTCCGAGCAAGTTTCTGAATTGTGTAGGGTTTTTATCACTTTAGGTCGTGAGTGCAGGGACTGGCCAGCTGGTACTGCAGAATTAGAAGTTCAACAAATGATTCATGACAATTCCCGCCCTGGTAATGTGATTATCTATACACAAGGCTCTGTGTTGAGGGGCAGACGAAGTGCATGGGGGTTCATCTCAAAAATGAATGGACGTCGCTTAGTGCAACAAACTCTGGCATATAATATCCTTATGTCTCGTTTAGGAATGGAAGTTGGAGCAGTCTCGGTCTTGAGAATCTTGCCGATGCGCAACACTCCAGTGAAAGGCGAGATGAATATACAATCAGTTATTTGTGCCATCGGAATTGGAATTCGTCGCTTGGTGCTGAAGATGGGGAGGGGGCGCTTATTAGAGTGTCCCGGGTTGCAAAGATGTCAATTCTTAATTCAACATTCAATGTTTTAGCTCACCATTGCTCTGCGATGGCCAGGTCCAATGAATGGTGGATAATAGCGTTTTCGTAGTCGTTCAGTTCCATGTAAGCATTGCCCATAATGCTGTGCAGGGTTGATGCCAACTGCATCTTGCAGGACAGCTGCGACTCGCTGTATTCGTTCAGTAGGTTCAAGACCTTCTCCGCTCTGGCGAGTGTGGCCTCGTGGTTGCCGTCAGCCATCACTGCAAAACATTTGTTTAAAAAAAAAAGTCACTTTAAAGCATAATACCAGCCTTAGAGAGAAAGTTAGAATAAGACCTTCTCTGAATTACAATGACAAAAAATGAAATGGTTCGGCCATCTAACGAGAATGCAGCTAGAGGCATATGAGGCATTTTACAGAAGAACATCTGAGAGGCCGACGAGGGGAAGACTAAGAAAGAGATGGATAAATGGTGTAGCTGAAACCTGGAACAAAAATTAATTAATCAATAAAGGTGAGCGAATCAATCAACCAGGCCATCCGTGATGCGCAAGACAAATACAGAAAACCACGACACTGGGCTACAGCCTGGTATCAGTGAGATGACAAAACCACCACACTGGGTTACAACATGGTATCAGTGGGACGACAAAACCACGACACTGGGTTACAACATGGTATCAGTGGGATGACAAAACCACGACACTGGGTTACAACATGGTATCAGTGGGACGACAAAACCACGACACTGGGTTACAACATGGTATCAATGGGACGACAAAACCACGACACTGGGTTACAACATGGTATCAGTGGGACGACAAAACTACGACACTGGGTAACAACATGGCATCAGTTGGATGACAAAACCATGATACTGGGCTACAGCCTTGTTTCAATGAGACGACAAAACCATGATACTGGGCTACAGACTTATTTCAGTGAGACGACAAAACCATGATACTGGGCTACAACCAGGTATCAGTGAGACGACAAAACCACGACACTGGTCTACAATCTCGTAACAGTGAGACGACAAAACCACGACACTGGGCTACAACCTGGTAACAGTGAGACGACAAAACCACGACACTGGGCTACAACCTGGTAACAGTGAGACGACAAAACCACGACACTGGGCTACAACCTGGTAACAGTGAGACGACAAAACCACGACACTGGGCTACAACCTGGTAACAGTGAGACGACAAAACCACGACACTGGGCTACAACATGGTATCAGTGAGACGACAAAACCACGACACTGGGCTACAACCTGGTAACAGTGAGACGACAAAACCACGACACTGGGCTACAACCTGGTAACAGTGAGACGACAAAACACACGACACTGGGACTACAACCTGGGCGACAACAGTGAGACGACAAAACCACGACACTGGGCTACAACCAGGTAACAGTGAGACGACAAAACCACGACACTGGGCTACAACCTGGTAACAGTGAGACGACAAAAGAAGAAGAAGGTCACATTTCGTGTAAATGGCAAGTCGGGCAAATGATGTGAGACTCAAATTTTAAACACCCATTGGCTCTCCATGGGGGTTTTGGTCAAAACCATTCCGACCGCCTTACTTCTAAGGAAGTTACTTGATCTCCAATTTTAGCCTGCGTCGACCTGGGAACCTTAGCCATGTTTTTCTTTTCCAAAACCGCCTGCGTGGATTCGAACCCAGGACATTAGGCCCGACAGGCGAGTATTTAGCCACTACGCAACAGTACCAGCAGGCCATCACAGAAGTATGGTAATAATGTCTCGTATAAGACCCAGATCGGGAGGACATCATAGATTTTCTGCCCAGAATATTCGGATGTTCGCTGTAATGACCAGGCTGAAAATGTAGCTTCCCCCGCTCTCCTGGGCTGCGAGTTACTTTTTGACTGAGTTACATGAGAGGCTATCTGAGATCAAGTTGACAGTGCAACAAGACAGAGTACCCTCTATACCTGGTGTAATGGTGAGAATTCCCGGGGAAATCCCAGAGAGTTTGCGATGGGGAGGACAAGGTCAGAGGACCAGTGATACAAGAGAAAAACGAGATTAGTGGGTCTCGATTATCCCGTGGTGAGCGAATAAGGGATACAAGAAAAGCGTGAGACTGGAACGGAATACGTGAACCGAGAGACGGTAGTAAGATAGTTGAAGTTCGTACCTGGATGACTGCGATCGTATGTGAGAGAACACCTGATAAGAATAGAGAACTTGTGACCACGTATAATTGATCGAGAGAAGAATGAATATTTCCTGTTGCCAGTTTCAACATGTACCAATACCAGGTACAAGGCTTTAGTATGATATGGATGTGTGATTCGAGAGATACGATCGGAGCAAAGCAGTGTGCGAATGAGTTAGCCAGGTCATCATAAATCAGCCGCGCATAGTGTACACGAGGACGAAAGAATGCGCTGTCAGTGAGATGTTTGATTCAGCGAATAAAGGTCTACAACTGACCATTCGTTTCTGGTGTGTCCTAGCAACTAAGTGTTCGTCAATACAGCAATGTGGCGTGTAGAAACAAACCCCTAGCAGAGCACATTGCACCTGGAGAGAAGGATTCCGCTAGCAATGAACAAAGCGTTTGGTGGACCTTTTTCCAGCGTTAGGTGGAGAAGACAGACGGATTTTAATCAGGCTGCAGCTAGCACGATCAACATAGCAAATTTTCGCTGTATGCTTTCGATGGAAATGCGCAGAACCAGCTGCATTAGGCAATTTTACTGTCAGTAGTTTCGTAAGTGTCGGCTCTCGATACCACTGTCTTAATCAAAGCAAGGATGTCTGCAGCCAGATCGTACGCATTTGGAACCGAACCAAATAGGGAATAATAATCCTGAGCCACTGACACTGACTAATGATTCAATTTACCAAACCACCAATGAATCAACAGTACTTACAGTGCTCGATCTTCTCAATTTGATTGTAAATGTAATCATGAGCTGAAATTTTGGCTGATCTGCCCCGGTTTAGCGCCAAGCGTGTCTCATACTTCCGAGCATAGATAGGCTTCACCTGTGTACTCACACACAGAGATATCGACACATGGACATCAATTATTCATTACAGCAACGTTTCCCTTTGCATTCATAGTAAGAAAGGTCAGTAAAGGTCTTTTCTTTCAGACACGTAAGATCTAACTGAAGATACATAAGGAGTACTTAGCCATGAGGAATCAAGCATACAGGCATAACTTTCACGGGGGCAGCGAGTCAATCTTCTGCTTCTTCTTCTTCCTTTATAGCCCCCAATGGAGCATATGCCCTCAACCAACTCACGCCAAGTCGTTCTATCTTTTGCTATCGCATGCAGCTCTTCCCGTGTCCTCCCCATCTTTCTAACTTCATTCTCCAGCTCCCTTTTACGTCTGTTTTTTGCCTTCCCTTATTCCTATGAGCGGAGGTTCCAGTGCAAAGACATTCTAGTTATACTTTTATCTGGTTTTCTCAATGTATGTCCTATCCAACGCCAGCGTCTTTTCTTCACCTCTGGGTCCACTGGAGCTTGCTTAGTTCTCTCCCAAAGCTCCACATTAGTGATTATATCATACCATTTAATTCCCTCTATTCTGCGCAAACACCAGTTAAAGAATGTCTGTAGTTTATTAGTAACTGACTTAGTTGTTCTACATTGTTTCCGCCCTGTACAAAAGTACTGATTCTTGTCTACCTTGGGGTATAAAGGTTTGCCAGCGAGAAAACCAGACTTCTCTACAAACATTTGGGGGGCGAGGGCGGGGGGGGGGGGGTACCCACTCCAGGCTGAGTCGACCTGGGAGCCAAAGTCACTTTTGAAAAAGTCAGGGAGCGAGCCCACGACCTTTCGATCTGCGGCGAGTGTCTAGTCGCTCGGCCACGGCAAATCCCCCGTGAAATTTATTATTATTGAATAATTAAATTTCTCTAACGAGGAGACACAGACGGAGAGTCCTAATCAGGAATGTTAAATTAAGAATCGACACTACAGAACTAAGGATACTCCCATAAGCGCTCCCCCCCCCCCTCACCTTCAGCAGCAAGCGAAGTGTTCCAATTCAGATGGCAACAATAACTGTCTGTACATCCGTCTCGCCTTCCCCTTGAGTACCGAGCCTTGACCCGATCGCTGGGTAACTTCTTGCAGCGCCGTTCTCCTCAGACCGTAACGATCTACTTGTGCCTCTGCACAGCTCACTCGCTCCCAAAGGGTCCACACAACATCTAATTTGTCATAAATCAATTCAACACCAAGTGGTATAGAACCGGCAGGTCTGTCTGACTGCTCGTCTCCCAAGACACTGGCATGACCTGGAGAAAATATGCAAAGGACACTAACTACTGGATACCTCTGAAGCGATTCCGAATCAAGAACTGAAACGGAAACAAAAGAGGTTGAGGAAGCCAGGTTGCCCAAGAAAAACATTGACACTTGCCATATTCGATGTTAGCACGGAATGTGGGTACTATGCTTTGTGATGTCTACACGGTACAACACAATGATGATGGTGATGATGACTTTGATGATATATGATTTAACCTGCTGCCAGAAATCTGCCAGTTTGTCCAGATACGTCAAACCGTCATTCGCAAAATTGTACACTTTCCTTCCGGTTCTAGTTTGTGTGTCTGTGAAACAGTGTGATTATAGCCTGTGTTTTTTACAAATATAATTTCTAGAACAAGTCATAGAAAAACACACTATTTTTTTTTTTTTTCTGCCATAAATTATATAAATGTAAAGAACTAAAAAAAAAAAAAAAAAAGCATTGACAACCGCTTGTAGAATAATTTATAAGGGGGAAAAGTTGGCAACGTTTGCAGCACATCGGCGACCAGGTCGCCCTAGATTCGCCGGTAGACGACTTCGCATCAACACTGCAGGAGTCCCTTTCAGGGCTCTTGGTGACGTGCAGTGCTAAGCCATTTTATATGGCGCACATAACCTGGTCAAAATTATAACCTTAAGCTCCCCTTATGGGGATGCTGGTTGAACCTGACGATGTTTTCCTAGGAAAGCTCCTACCTACCATTGTTGTTGTAGATCATGAGAAGAATCATCTCACAGGCGCTGAAGCGGGAAACAAATGGATTTCGGAAACGGGCACTTGCATGAGAAACTCAAGGGCGATGGTTATTGAGGGAGGTCAAAGGTGCGGGACTGGATTCCATAGGATACAGTTCGATGAAGGTATATACTAACAGTGCAAGGTTTCAAAGAACATCAACGAATCAAATGGTTTGGTCATATGGTCAGAATGGAACAAAATCAGCCAGCAGTTAAAGCGGACTATTTGAGAATAGCAGGCTACAGGGTAACAGGCCGACCTTGAAAGAAATGGATGGAGTTTGAAATTAACACGAGCTACGCAACTAGCAAAAGACGAAACTACATCTCACTCCTCTCTGTGACGTTTTACACTTTACATCAAAAGCAGCAGGACAGGAGAAGAAGAATTTGGAGCACAGACACGTTTAACTTTCTGAGAGAGAGAGAGAGAGAGAGACGAGAGAGAGAGAGTGTTATGGAGAGAGAGAGAGAGGAGAGAGAGTGGAGGGGGAGAGAGAGAAAGGGAGAGAGAGAGAGGGAAAGGGGGAGGGAGAGAGAGAGAAAGATACACAGGGGAGGGAGAGGAGGGTGAGAGGGAGAGAGAGGGGATGGAGACCAGGGGAGGTTCTGTAGAGAGAGGGTTTGAGAGAGGAGGAGAGAGAGAAAGAGAGAGAGAGAGGAGAGAGAGACAGACTGAGACAGAGAGAGGAGAGAGAGAGGGAGAGAGAGGGAGAGAGAGAGGGAGAGACAATGGAGAGAGAGAGGGAGAGAGAGGAAGAGAGATAGAGAGAGTCTGGAGAGAGACTCATGCAAGAGACGTAGAAGAGGAGGGAGAGAGAGAGGGAGAGAGAGGAAGAGAGAGACAGAGAGGGAGAGAGAGTGAGAGAGAGAGGGAGAGACAGAGAGAGAGAGGGGGAGAGAGAGAGGGAGAGAGAGACAGACACAGAGAGAGATGGAGAGAGAGGGAGAGAGAGAGAGGCTGTGACGTTTTACACTTTACATCAAAAGCAGCAGGACAGGAAAAGAAGAATTTGGAGCACAGACACGTTTAACTTTATGAGAGAGAGAGAGAGAAAAGAGAGAGAGAGAGAGAAAAGGGGGAGAGGGAGAGAGAGGGGGAGAACCCTTTAAGGGAGAGAGAGGGGGAGAGAGAGAGGGAGGGAGGGAGAGAGAGAAGAGAGAGGGATAGAGAGGAGCGAGGAGAGAGAGAGAGGGAGAGGAGAGAGAGGGAGAGAGAGAGAGAAAAGAGAGAAGAGGAGAAGAGAGAGGAGAGAGAGAGAGCGGGAGAGAGAGAGGAGAAAGAGGGAGAGAGAGAAGAGAGAGAGAGAGAGGAGAGACAGACAGACAGAGAGAAAGAGACAGAGAGAGGAGAGAGAGGGAGAGAGAGGGAGAGATAGAGGGAGAGAGAGGGAGAGAGAGGGGGAGAGAGAGAGGGAGAGAGATAGAGAGGGAGAGAGAGACAGACAGAGACAGAGAGAGAGGAAGAGAGAGGGAGAGAGACAGAGAGAGAAAGAGGGAGAGAAATGGAGAGAGGGAGAGAGAGACAGAGAGAGAGGGAGAGAGATAGGGAGAGAGAGGGAGAGAGAAGAAGAGAGAGGGGAGAGAGAGAGACAGGGGGGACCATGCGGATCGGAGAGACAGACAGAGAGAGAGGGAGAGAGAGGGAGAGAGAGGGGGAGAGAGGGTGAGAGAGGAAGAGAGAGGGAGAGAGAGAGAGGGGGAGAGAGAGAGACAGACAGAGAGAGAGGGAGAGAGAGGGAGAGAGAGGGGGAGAGAGAGACAGAGAGAGAGAGAGAGAGGGAGAGAGAGGGGGAGAGAGAGAGATGGGGGAGAGAGAGATAAAGACAGACAGAGAGAGAGGAAGAGAGAGAGAGTGAGAGAGAGACAGACAGAGGGAGAGGGAGAAAGAGAGAGACAAAGAGGGAGAGAGAGAGACAGAGAGAGGGGGAGGGAGTGTGTGTGTGCGACAGAGAAGAAGAGAGAGAGAGACAGACAGACAGAGAGAGGGGGAGGGAGTGTGTGTGTGTGTGTGCGACAGAGAAAAAGAAAGAGAGAGAGGGAGATAGAGAATATGGGGAAGGGAAATAAAGTAAGAAAGAGAGACAGCAAGATCGCTCTTACCTATGTCTTTTAGTATTTTTTCCAGAAATTGTCTGTCGCCGTATAGATCTCCGAGCATCTGTTTAATAGTTTTCTCATTGCCAATCTTTTCCGACGGCCGCTTTCCCCTCTGCACAGTTCGAGGCGTCTGTGTGCAGAGTGCACCCTTTCTTGTTGTCTTTTTCTGAAAACATGACCCAACTTTTTGAGCTACTCACCAAGGGAAATAATTGCAAGCAAAAATTCAGGTCTTAAAATCATAGCAATATTTCCCCGTAACATAACAGACTCATTATCGCAAAAACAAAGATGTAAAAAAAAAATTGCTAAAATCCGATGTGTTGGGGCGAAAGGTGCTAGCTGTACACTACAACACATGATGACAAAGGCCGTAGCAGCAGCATAAGAGAAGAAGAAGAAGAAAAAAAAGAAGAAGAAGAAGAAGAAGAAGAAGAAGAAGAAGAAGAAGAAGAAGAAGAAGAAGAAGAAGAGGAAAAATAAAAAGGGGAAAACAACAACAACAACCAACAACAACAACAACAGCAACAGCAGCAGCAGGAAGAACAGAAGAATCAGAAAAACAAAAACAAGGAAAATCACAAGCCTTCATGATTTAAGCTAACTGGACACCCAGATATGTACTAACTACTCTTATTCGTACAGTCCCTCACATACCTCTAAGTTTGCAGCAAAGAGCAACAATCACACATACACCTCTGTTTGCAGCAAAGAACTATAAATCACTCACATACCTCTAAGTTTGCAGCAAAGAGCAACAATCACACATACACCTCTGTTTGCAGCAAAGAACTATAAATCACTCACATACCTCTAAGTTTGCAGCAAAGAGCAACAATCACACATACACCTCTGTTTGCAACAAAGAACTATAAATCACTCACATACCTCTAAGTTTGCAGCAAAGAGCAACATCAACACAATACACCTCTGTTTGCAACAAAGAACTATAAATCACTCGCATACCTCTAAGTTTGCAGCAAAGAGCAACAATCACACATACACCTCTGTTTGCAGCAAAGAACTATAAATCACTCACATACCTCTAAGTTTGCAGCAAAGAGCAACAATCACACATACACCTCTGTTTGCAACAAAGAACTATAAATCACTCACATACCTCTAAGTTTGCAGCAAAGAGCAAGAATCACACATACACCTCTGTTTGCAGCAAAGAACTATAAATCACTCACATACCTCTTAGTTTGCAGCAAAGAGCAACAATCACACATACACCTCTGTTTGCAGCAAAGAACTATAAATCACTCACACACCTCTGTGTGTGCAGCAAATAATGACAATCAATCACACACCTCTATGTTTGCAGCAAAGAGCGACAATCACTCACACATCTCTATATTTGCAGCAAAGAACGACAATCACTCACATACCTCTATGTTTGCAGCAAAGAATAACAATCACTCACATACCTCCATGTCTGCAGCAAAGAACGACAATCACTCACATACCTCTATGTTTGCAGCAAAGAATAACAATCACCCACATACCTCTATGTCTGCAGCAAAGAGCGACAATCACTCACATATCTCTATATTTGCAGCAAAGAACGACAATCACATACCTCTATGTTTGCAGCAAAGAGCGACAATCACTCACATATCTCTATATTTGCAGCAAAGAGCGACAATCACTCACATACATCTATGTTTGCAGCAAAGAATAACAATCACTCACATACCTCTATGTCTGCAGCAAAGAGCGACAATCACTCACATATCTCTATATTTGCAGCAAAGAACGACAATCACTCACATACCTCTATATTTGCAGCAAAGAACGACAATCACTCACATACCTCTATGTTTGCAGCAAAGAACGACAATCACTCACATACCTCTATGTCTGCAGCAAAGAACGACAATCACTCACATACCTCTATGTTTGCAGCAAAGAACGATAAATCACCAGAGGTGTTCAGCTTCACTCTTTCTGGAGCTTGGTGGGTAAACACAAAAACTTTAAAGTGATGCATTTAAGCCACTGAACTTAACCAGACAACAATTAAAACAGACCATAACTGTAACCGAAGCTATCATTAGCAAGGTTATTCGTGGTCATCCACCCTCGCCCCTTTTTTTTTAAATCAATAAAAAAGTCGAGAGAGTCTATTTTAATGCACCAAGTTGTCAGAAGTCGATTTTGTCACGTGTCCAAATTAGGGTCAACCTTAGTCTTCTTCTTCTTCTTCGATCCTTCTGTCAGAAAACTTATATCAGGAGGCCGGTAGCCTTTATGAAAGCTATCGTGCAATCCATATCCTCTTTTGTACCATACAGTTTTGTCTTCAGTGTGGTTGGAACAGGCCAGATTGCGTCTCTGTTGTCAGCATACAGTTGACAGTGTTGGAGCACATGCTCAGCATTTTCGGGTGCCACGCTGCAGGGACACGTCTCCGTATTTCCTACACCGAAAAATTTGAACATATGTTGACGAAATCTGTTGTGCCCTGTCCTTAGTCTGAATATAATAGACTGTCCCTCTCTAGAGAGGCGATGAAGTGAGTCTTGGGGAGAAAATCTGGTGTGGGTATCCAGCCACCTTTCTTGGATACTAGATTGTATTAGTGTTTTCATCTCTTGGTGGGTTAAGTCGCTATTTGGTTGTACCATGTCACTGCCGCTTCTGGCCAATCTGTCCGCTATTTCATTGCCTTCTAAGCCACAGTGACCTGGAATCCACTGCAATACAGATTGTTCTACTAGTAATATATGACATTGAAATGGTACAATGTTGTGGAGTCCGGGAAACGAATACACGACTTTCAGAGCGCGAGACGAACGACTTTACGACTAGTTACAAGTGGCCTAATCAGATGTGCTCGGATAAACGCTAGCAGGTAACGATTACACTAGAGACGGTATCCTGTGATATTTTTGTCGTTGCTTCACTGTGAAAGTATGCGTGTGCAGTATTACATTACTAGTCACTGGTAGCTTTCAGACATTCTGGCTTCTTCATAAGTGGCGTAAGCACGCAGCGAGCGTTCTCTTCACTATTTTCCCAGACGTAACAGTGTGACGTATTTGTTTAAAAAAAATCAAGTAAACATTAATTTTAAACAGTAATAATAAATAGTAAATTAATACAGTTTTCGTTGGCAGTGGCAAATGTAAGCGACGTTTACAGCCGTTACATACGCACCTCCTGACTGACCTCAGTTATAACTTCTTTGGATATTGAGATTTTCTTCATTTTCTTTCCACGGATCTCGAGCCTTAGTTTATCATCGTCATCACTTAAATAAACCAATTCTGTGGTTAGTTTGATCACCGGAGAAAGATTTTATGGCAGTCTTTACGAAAGTGGAACAACTTTAACATCACGGCTCGTTGGTCTAGGGGTATGATTCTCGCTTAGGGTGCGAGAGGTCCCGGGTTCAAATCCCGGACGAGCCCAATATTTTTTTGTTTACGGTGAAATGCCGGTTTTCGTATTGTCTTCAATATCAAACAACATTGTGCGTGGTTAGTGGGACACAAAGGCTGTTGATTATTCTTCGTAGTAGTGCTGGGTTTTTCCGTCCTTTAATTTCCTTCGTCCGCATGGCGTAATTGTTCCTGCTTGCAACTAAGCTGCGATATTTGCGCCTTTCGGCCGACGCATGCAACTTCACTGAGCATTTGTTGACCTGGTTAACTTCCCGGGTCCATAACCCAGAAATCCCTGAATCTAAATCAAGCTTTGCAAAAGTAAAGGATGTTCTCTGTAGCGAAGAGATCGCTTGCCATATTCATGCTCTGGGCGAATTTTTAGGATGGTTTTTTAATTTAAGCCTAACCCCAAAATAAGTTTATAAGCCCTAGTAAAGATAATCTTACTTGGTACGAGTTGGTTAAGGTTCTTAGCTCCATTGGTGGCTAGAAATGCAGAAGAAGGACATTTATCAGCTAGAAAGAAAGAGAGAGAGAGAGAGAGAGAGAGAGAGAGAGAGAGAGAGAGAGAGAGAGAGAGAGAGAGAGAGAGAGAGAGTGGTTGCCACTCGAAATACCGACGCCACTGGTGCGCACTTCACATATCACGGCTCGTTGGTCTAGGGGTATGATTCTCGCTTAGGGTGCGAGAGGTCCCGGGTTCAAATCCCGGACGAGCCCAACAGTTTTTTTTTCGTTAACGATAACACACCTGTTCTCGTATTGTCTTCTAAATCAAACAACATTGTGCAAGGTTCTATGCTCCACAGAGGGCTAGAAATGCAAAAGAAGGGCATTAATCGGCTACAAGAGAGAGAGAGAAAGAGAGACAGAGAGGTTGCCAATCAAAATACCGACGCCACTGGTGCGCACTCTAGAAAATGAACATATGACACTCTACAAGAAACTAAATATTTAATGTATTTGATTCGTTTATTTGATTGAACCACATCACCAGGGGCAACCTAACCAAAATGAACACCCGCTTCTACAGTGCTTTGGAAAAAGTGCACAAGCGATCTTTACACCCCCTCCCCCCCCCCCCCCCTCCCCGTAAGACCTCGCTGAGGTAAATGGCAGAAAAGAAGAAGAAGGGGGAGGAGAAGAAGAAGAAAAAGAAGAAGAAGAAGAAGATTTATTAAACTCACTCCCAACGCAGTTGTAAATGGCTTCCTGAGCTTTCCTTATCCCAAGACGAAAATTGTGGAACTCCGGACGCTGCTTGTTGCCTCGGTGATAGAAGACCAGCGCCATCTCAAAATCTCCCTTGTTGAATAGAACTTCGGCTTTTTGGAAGATGCTCTGAAATTAAATGACAGCCAAATAGACTCAACACATTCAGTGTACCTTTCAGAAATAGGGAGTGGATTAGTTCTTAGTGGTGTGCAGTACTCGATTTAGCACATTCATAATTAGTAACAGCTACGGTTAACAAAAGCGGCAGAAATTCTTCAGTATACATTTTCCAGTGGATTGTGCTTAATGAGTGTGGTCAGGAAGATAGAAAATAGCTGAATCCGAAGACAGTGGCTGGAGTCTCTAAAGCGTTCGGGGCAGACACATATTGATTTAATATTTGTGCCAGAGCACGCAGGCGTGCAAGGAAATAAGCAAACTGATCGGCTTGCATGTAAAGCTACTGGGTGAGGTTAGGGGGGGGGTGTGGGGGTGTACGAGCCAAGGACCATGCTGATATTCTACCATGAACTTAACGTTGAATGTATGGCAGAGGCGCCGAACAGTACATTGTGGTGCACCACGACCAAGTATCACACTGGTCGAGACCTAGCTACAGCTCTCCTATGTCATCCTAAACACAGGTTTCCCAGTCGGGAGCCTGGACAGTTGATAAAATCAGTGTTTTCTTCCATGTCGCGTCACTCCTGCCTAAGATGCGGGGAACCAACAATCTGCACATAGAAAAGCAAGAACTATAAAGTAATGTAAAGCAAACCTGAAATCCCGAAACAGGGCAAAGTGTAGAAGTGGACGAACAACAAGGACTTCTCGCTATAGTTAACAGACGGTGAACACAAAGAAGAAGAAGAAGAAGAAGAAGAAGAAGAAGAAGAAGAAGAAGAAGAAGAAGAAGAAGAAGAAGAAGAAGAAGAAGAAGAAGAAGAAGAAGAAGAATAGATGATACATCCTCATTTAAGCACTAACAGAAATCAGAGGTAGACAGGTGTGTGGTCATAGTTACCAAATAATAAGTCTTGTTCTCGTTCAATGCCGCTTCTGCATCCTGACTTGCCTTGTTGATGTCGCCCAGTAGTAGATGGCATCTGGACCGAAACACCAAACTAAGTATGTCATTGGGGCGATGGGTTAGGGCCTGTAGAAGAAAAGAATACATCTTATGCATCTGGAGAAAGCCCTTCCCCTTAATTAAGCTCGCGTGCGGATCAGAAGGTCGCGGTTTCGCTTCCTAACGGAGCCAGACTTTTTCTTTTTTCTTTTCAAAAATGAGCTTGACTCCCAGGTCTAACCAGCCTTAAGTGGGTACCGGGCTAAGTTAAATTGTCCTTTCGCTTCGGCAGCATCCCGAGCCCTTGAGAATGAACAGACTAAACACAAATGTTGACAACAATGGTCCTGAAATTGCATGCTATAATTGTGGAAGACTTTTCTTAACGCGGGCAGGTCTTGCTAGTCACACTCGCCACCGCCATGGGCTGTGAGTCCCATGCCTCCCTATGGCATAATGTGACATTATTGTCTGGAAAGACGGAAAGGTGCCAATATAAATGTCGTTGTTGCTTCTCGTTCTCCCTTGTCTCCAAATATGATCGAATTGTCTGTTTTAGTTGTGTTTAAGGTCTTAGAGCCATTGAGATCATCTGGTTTTTAACATCATTGTATATATTGTGATCTTGTTTAAATATTTACCACCAGAAAATGGTGGCCCTCCCCCACCTCTTCTTCTTCTGCTTTTTCACGGGTTCGGGTGTCGAAGGAGATACAAGGTCCTGCTTCATGCTCTTCTGGCTGCTTCGACCAAATAAACATCGTGGTGCTGAAGAGTTTCTCTGATGTTATCTTCCCACCATGTTCTTGGGTCTATCTCTTGATCTACGCCCCTCTCCACTTATATTATGTGCCCTGTATGGTATAGCATCAGACGGCATTCTCTTCAAGTGAGCAAACCATTTGATTTGCTGTCTTTGTATATAATTTAAAATTTGTTCTGTGCCGACTTTTACCTCGTATGACCCCATTCTTTTATCTCTTCTTGTCGCTCATACAGTCTTTCTCAGACCCCCTCATTTCCATGGTTACTAATTTTCGTTATGTTTTTATTGTGGGTGAACACGTCTGGCACTGATAGCATAGGGTGAGAATGAATATGCGTTGTATAAGATGTTTCTTTTAGCTGACTGGGATTGCCTTATGCTGTAAGAGGGGGATAGCTCTCCCAATACTTAGCCTGCTTTACTGCATCGGATGTCAATTTATTCTTCCAGTTTACCATCTTCAGTAATTGTTGTGGTTCTTTTCTGTTAAGTCACCACATCACAAGAGATTTAAGGAAATCCCATTGTATAGGGCGGTTAGTGTTAGGGTCAGTGTTTAATGAATGGCGACTGCTACTAACCCTAACCCTCCTATAATATGGGTTTTCCCTAAATCTCTTGTGATGTGGTGATTTAACCAAAAAAAAAAAAAAAAAAAAGAACCATTGTTGTTCCAAGATATTTAAACTCAGTGTGACGAAACGACCTCAGTGTTCTCAGAAGTTATTACGTGGAATAATTGCATCTGTTTATTGAGAGACAGAGAATTATATTTACTATGCCCTTAACCCAAATAGTACTAAAACCACATGGATTTCATTGTTACTAGTCCTTAGCCCAGACAAAGCAACTGAGCTTTGTTTAATATTACATAACATGACGTAATATAGCCCACTGGTCTACCTGGGAAAGCTCAGACTTAATGACTAGAGATTTTGCATGCCCAACTGAAGCGTCATGTAATAATCTCCTGACCAGAGACCTTTAGGAGCAGATAACCCAACTAATTATCCCCCTAAGATTATCTTCCTTGAACTGCAGACCCTAATGTCATAAAATGGTTTGGTCATCAGCCAGGCTGGGCCATGACCGGCTCCAGCTGACGGGCCGTGCTGCTGACGTCACCGCGTCAGGCTAACGATGCGGTAACGCAGCGGTTCTCAAATAAGATATAAACTATTTTCGACAGTGGCAAGGAAAGACAACTTAAATTGTATCTTTAAGTATCTACATGCCTTATTTATTATTTCCCATTTTTAGCCGACTTTCCTTTATTACGCGGCAGCCCTGGCATACGCTCAGGACACACCAGGCTGCCTCAGCACCCAGTTTGAGAAATGCTGCGTTAACGCATCGTTAGCCCGACCCGGTGACGTCAGCAGCACGGCCCGTCAGCTGGAGCCGGTCGTGGACACATTGTCCGCAGTTGGGATCAAACCCGGCATTACGAAGCGCGTTCGCGTGAAAAGGGTACATTAATCTTTACAACTGTGGAACCTGTGTGGTACATATATGCTCTCTACATGCAATAGAGCTATCTCAGGTTTGCCCGGTTGGCATTCCAATATAAACCAATTACGTGGAATGGTGGAAGAGATGTGTCACACCATAGACTTCATAGATGTATGTGGTCTTCTTATCCAAAAACAACTGGCAGGGGGAACGGAAAGAAGAAGATTAAGATAAATGAGTTAACAAATTAAAACTATGTTCAGAGAGCTCAGTTTACCAACTATACCCACACAGGCTAGCATGATCGTTACGGGTGCCTCAGTTCTAATCTCCTTACATGTTGAACGGAATGTCTGAGCTTTGTCACGTTGTTTTGTCACCCATGAAGAGAAGCTAAATTTCTCAGGGATTATCAAATTCTCAGGGGTTATCACATTTTCGGCTGGCATCCTGTGTGGGAAAAACCAGCAACGATAGCCAACCCAGCAAATGTTCTGAAAACTTTTAACATGAATAAGTCAAGGGAATAAATTCTGGGCGAGGATTTCTTCATACTTGTTGCAATGTTATAAAGTTTGCGGTGGGGTAGAATGTTAACAATATCGCTCAGTGAATTCTGTTACTACTGGCTAGTGAATACTGGGACCGGCTCAATCAATAGTAGGACAGACTAGATGAGGATTGGAACAGGTTAACTGGATGTTGACACTCGGTAACTGAGTGCCGGAAGTGGCAAACTGAATGCTGGGAGTGGCAAACTGAATATTGGGCGGGACTAACTGAATACTGGGCGTGGCTAACTGAACATTGGGAGCGGCTAACTGAACATTGGGAGCGGCTAACTGAACATTGGGAGCGGCTAACTGAACATTGGGAGCGGCTAACTGAACGTTGGGAGTGGCTAACCCAACATTGGGAGCGGTTAAGTGAACATTGGGAGCGGCTAACTGAACATTGGGAGCGGCTAACTGAACGTTGGGTGTGGCTAACTGAACGTTGGGAGCGGCTGAACGTTGGGAACACTTGAAGCGACTTACTGAATGTTGGGAGTGGCAAACTAAATATTGGGCGTGACTAATTGAATACTGGGCGTTGTTAACTAAATGCTGACCCTGGCAGACTCAGTGTTGGGTGCGGCTGACTGAACATTGGGAGCGGCTAACTGAACATTGGGAGTGACTAACTAAATACTGTGAGTGCTAACTCAGCGTTGGGAGTGGCAAAATGAATGCTGACACTGGCGGACTGAATGTTAAGGGTGGCTGACTGAATGTTGACGTGTTCAAACTGGCGGGCTGGATGTTGGCAGCGGCAACACGGGAGTGTATTATGTGCAATGACGTCGACTATGATAACACACAAGCATGTCGTAAGAGTCCACTAACTGTGGGCTTCTTCAAAGTCAGAGTGCATCTGCCTGAGAGGCAAGGAACCAATAGTCTGCATACGGGTAAGACAGTTCTGTAAAAAGGATGCGCAAGCGGCATTCAGGTTCTGGAACAAGACTAAAGTCTAAAGGTGGACGAACAACTTGAAGTTTCCGCCGGAGAATCCAGACGGTAATCACTAAGAAGAAGAAACGGTCTAAAATTGGTATCGAGGTAAAGTCCTGGAAAGTAAAGGCAGCAGGTGGTGGTTATCCATAACGACCATCTAATTCCGATTAGTCAGTAAAAAATATATGTCTTGCTTAATATGTTATTTCCGTATCCTTTACAGGACGTTGCACAACCAACATTTTTTGACTGTTGTGGTTTTTCTAGGCAAATTTTACGTTCAATAGTTTGTCATTGCTTTTGAACTGTCAGCTCTCGGTACCATTGTCGAAACCAACGCAAAACAAATTGTCCGCAGCTGGGATCAAACCCAGCAACCCGGCATTACAAAGCGCGTTCGCATGAAAAGGTTATATTAACCTTTACTGGAGCTTTGTCACGTTGTTTTGTCACCCATGAAGAGAAGCTAAATTTCTCAGGGATTATCAATTTCTCAGGGATTATCACACTTTCAGAGGTTATCACATTTTCGGCAGGCATCCCGGATGGGAAAAAACAGGCAACGATAGCCAACCAAACAAATGTTCCGAAAATTGTTAACATAAATAAGTGAAAGGAATAAATTCTGGGCGTGGATTCCTTCATACTTTTTGCAATGTTATAAAGTTTGCGGTGGGGTAGAATGTTAACAATATTACCCATTGAATTCTGTTACTACTGGCTCTTGAATACTGGGACCGACTCAATCAATAGTAGGACAGATTAGATGAGTACTGGAACAGATTAACTGGATGTTGACACACGGTGACTGAATGCCGGGAGTGGCAAAACTGGATATTGGGCGTGAATAACTGAATACTGGGCGTGGCTAACTGAATGTTGACACTGGCGAGCTGAATGTTGGGAGTGGCTAACTGAACACTAGGAGTGGCTAACTGAACATTGGGAGCGGCTAACTGAACATTGGGAGCGGCTAACTGAACATTGGGAGTGCCTAACTGAAAACTGGAAGCGGCTAACTGAACGTTGGGAGTGGCTAACTGAACATTGGGAGTGGCTAAGTGAACATTGGGAGCGGCTAACTGAACGTTGGGAGCGGCTAACTGAACTGAACACTGGGAGCGACTTACTGAATGTTAACTGAGTAGCAAACTGAATATTGGGAGTGACTAACTGAATACTGTGAGTGGCTAACTCAGCATTGTGAGTGGCAAAATGAATGCTGACACTGGCGGACTGAATATTAGGAGTGGATGGTTAAACGCTGTGAGTAGTTAAATGAATATTGGGAGTGACTAACTAAATACTGTGAGTGGCTAACTCAGCGTTGTGAGTGGCAAAATGAATGCTGACACTGGCGGACTGAATGTTGA